AAAGATCACGTAACAATCTAGAGAAATGAAGGGGGAAGACCTACTCAGAGGGCACCCCCTCCAGCCTATCCAACAGTGGGAAGAGGTAGACGTAGACGTAGAGGGAATGTCTCGGGAATAAGTTGAGGTAACGGATTTAGCACAGGAGCAAATGAAAGACAGGGAATTGAAAAAAAAACCTAACAGAAGGAGCAGAATCTCACTCATATAAAGCACACAAAGGGATCTAGTCCAGGACGGAGTAGTTTCATATGATGGAAAATGTGGGGTGCCAGAGTGGGAGGGATGAAATCAAATAATTCACTGGGGACATAAAGGGGCAGAGAATACCCAGGATAAGATAAAGGAAGTGTGCGGGTGGCCTGGAATGAAAGGTGGTGATGTGGAACACCACGTTACTAATGGTTTGATCTGCACATAGCATAACCCCGATAAAAACGTTAAGAAAGGGACCCTCCAACATACTAGATTAGTAGAAGGGCCGTGGACTAATTTATGAATTGACTATATTGGACCCCTACACACCCCTCCAGGAGGATACAAGTAAATTCTAGTAATAGTGGACACCTTTAATAAATGGGTGGAAGCTTTCCCGACCATGACAAATACAACCAGGAATACTGCAAAAATTTTGTAGGAACAGGTATTCAATCGTTGGGGTATGTCCTCGAGCACAGAGTCAGATCACGGAATACATTTTGCATTACTTGGGCCGTAAAATGTGATGAACCTTCTTGGGATCAGACAGAGATTCCACATACCCAAAAGGCCACAGTCTAGTAGAATTGTGGAAAGAATGAATGGGACATTGAAAAACATGATAGTTAAAGTAATGCAGCAGCATAAGACAACCTGGCAGGTTGTGGCGTTTGGTACGTTTGGACTTGGCTGGACCCAAGGTAGACAATCGCATAACCAGAAAAATGGGTACAACTGTTGGTTGAAACAGCAAAGAAAGCAAATTATGTAGCAGCCCACCAACAAGAGAAGAAGCAGCAGCAAAGGAAGGCCTAAATCGACGCAAAAGCCAACCCGATAGAAACAGTAATGATAGGAATACGCTAGCCCACCTCATTCTTGAGTCCAAGTTCACCGGTTTCTCCAAGATAGTAGATAAGGCTAGCCCATCTGTATACAAGGTATTAATGGCACGAGGCAAGAGTAGTTGGTATCTCAATCAGTTAAAGTTAGTAGGAGAGAAGCAAGCTAGCCACAATTGGCATGTGATGCTCGATGCTAATGATGCGCCGGGTTCCCAAGGTCAGAGACAGCAAGAACAGGACCAGTTACAGATATCCAAAGAGATAACTGGAACGTGACCCGACGTTGGCCGTCCACGTATAAAGACTAGCCAAAGAAAATGACGAAAGAAAAACAGAAAGGGGACAGGAAGTAAATCGGGTCAGACAAAACAGATGGTTAGAATCGGAAACAGATTAGGAAAAGGGGATAGATGATCTGGCTCAGAGTTTGGAGAACCTGGGCTTAGAGTAGTGATAAGAAAGAAACTGTAAATAAGAGTATAAATTACACTTCTATGTTACAGGTCTAACCTAGGATGAAAGGAGTAATACATTTTGTCGCCATTGGGCTGATCATGCTTGAAACTATGGTTGAGCCACCATCAGAGTCACCACAATGAGTGAATGCGCCTCAAGCATTATCAATACTGGAAGAATATCCCATGATTGAGAACAACTCTGTTCCACAGCGCAAGATAATACAAACTAATAAAGGAAGCAGAAGGGACTTAAATTTGTATTATATGGGAGTGAATGGGTTGGCATGCACAAAGAAGACATTGGGTATACCAGAAGGAACAGAGGTACAATTCTCATGCAACAGAGTTCTGGAGGTGACACTGGTGGTAATCCCAGAAGGACAAATTACTAATCAATTTATACGTCCATTTATTGAACAACCATCGGGGAATGACAGTCGAGGTAAAATTATGGTTCACTGGGATCGCACCTATGTGAATATAGACTGGAGTAGTGACACACAAAAAAGATAGATTGTCTGGGGCAGCTACTCAAGGTAATTCAAGAAAATTGGTTGGATCATCGTCAACTGTACAGGGGATGACATGATACAGGAGGGAAATAGAGAAAAAAGGGCGTTGAGAGATGCAGATAGGGGTTTTTGTCAGGGGCCAGGGCCCTTCATAATTTTCAGGACCCATAAGAAGCTTATTACCCCACGTCCCCCGGTGATTAAAACCACACTGGAACCTAGATGTAGTGAATCTCAGTCTGGTGCTAGAGGAGACTGGAGAATCTGTCATTTTGGTACCTGGATATTGGCATGTCCAGGTAGCCTTTAATTTAACTGAAATGACAGCTCCAGAATGGTGCCTGTCCACCACAAAACAATTATTTGTCCACCTCCTTGATGAACAGGAATGATGAGCAGGAATGAGCTTAAATCCAACAAGAATAGAAAGAAAAGAGGACTATTGGAGGTAGCAGGGGCAGGATATGCATCAGGAGTGGCAACCATCAACACCTTGGACATAGTGGAATTAGAAAGTCAAATACAATCCCTTCAGCAGAAAATGCAGGTCATTACTGGGGAATGTTACTTAGACCAGATACAAACCAACCAGATGGGCCTGGATGTGTCACAAGTAACCCTGGACACAGTTAAAGTTCTAAACCCTTTACAGGATACAACTAATTTAAATCACTGATCGTATGAACAATACTTCTGAGGAGGCCCATAAGGCCGAGGTGTGTGCCATATACACTAGCTCTGAGTTGACAATGATCGGGACTAATTTGTTACAGCTGCATGCTCACCAAGTCCGAGACTGGGTGAATGATGAATAATTAATAAAGTGGGTTGGAGAAAAGACAATGCCCTCTGGAAGGACACAATGTAGCTATTAATAATGTGACCTCTGATTTGGTGATTAGTGGACAAGCACTGTCCCAGACAATGACCAAGGTGGTGATAACAGAAAAACCTCACGATCCAACGTACCGATACAGACCAAGATGTATGGAGGTTTGTTCGCACCAAATTACAAGCCATTCTACACCTGACAGCAGATTGGACACATATAGTGGGAGAGACAAAAGAAATAATTCATCAATAACCAAAAGAGAGAGAGAGAGAGAGAGAGAGAGAGAGAGAGAGAGAGAGACAGACAAAGAAGCGCCTGTCTAGCGCGGCCCTTGTTAGCTGCAGCAGGTATCTTGATCAGGTATTAGCTTTTATATTCTGTAACTAACTGGGGAGTGTCAGAGGACTCTAGTGGGTGTATAAGTCAGTCCAAGTTCAGTTTGTGGGAAAATGTATGTCTAATTTTGTGATAAGAACATTTAAGCAACGCATGTCTTGTTTAATACAAGCTGCTAACAGTAATTTATGAGGTTACGAGAATTGACTTTTCTCTCTGTACAAGCCGACAACCGGATCAAGTGTTCTCCAAGCTCCTGACAACACTTCACTATCCGCCCATCAATTACATTATTTATTTCTATTGCTATTAAAATACTCAATCTACTTCTTTAAACTAACAAATGTTTCTTAACATCCTGTTAATCAACCTTCAAACTTCTCAAAAACGTTACAATTCAATAGCAACTGTAGCACTTAAAGCCCTCTTGTACTAAATCATGCACACTGAGCATTCAAGTTTTCACTAATTCCATGGGCTCTTATCTGCACAGCTCACTGACAAGTGACAAATCATTGGCTCAAGCTATCTTCCGTCTCCACCTGCCTCCACATCTAGATCCCCGCTAATATTTTCTGGACTCAACTCTGGGCTACTTATCACACACCCTCTCTCTGTACTACCAGTAGCAGCATTTCATTCTTACTGAATTCAATTCCTGTCCTAAATCCTTCAATCTTGCTAAATTTCACAATATCTTCCAAAGAGCGTTCTCTAAACCAATACCATTATTATAGTATCTCTGTGACCTTCCTCAATTTGCCCTCTTTGTCAAGTGATCCCTACACTGAAAGTTCAATATCAGCATAAGCTATTGGTGGAAAATGCATCATGGCACAACTGAATTCAACTGTAAGCAAACACTGCTGCATCCAATTAGTTGAACTTAGTACAGAAAATATACAAGTAAACCTACAATGATACAAATGCATTGTCAGCAGTTTTCAGAAGGCTCACTGGACTAGTATCTTGAATGGGTGGGTTGTCTAATGGGGAAAAGTTGGAAAGACGAGGTTTGTATCTGCTATAGTAAAGAAGAGTAAAAGGTGACCGGAATGAAACATACAAAATCTTTGGAGTTTCTAAAAATGTGGATTTAGAAATGATGTTTCCACTTATGGGGAAGATCTCGAATTTTGGGTCACTGGTTAAAAATAAGGAGTCACCCATTTAATACAGAGATGAGGAGAATTTGTTTCTTAAAGAGGATTGTGTATCGTTGGAACTGTCTTCCTCAAAAGGCTGTAAAAGCAGAGGCTGAGTGGTTATTTCTTGATAAGGGGTCAAACATTATCAACGGTAGGCAGAAATTTGGAGTAATCAGATCAACCACGATCTACTTGAATGACGGAGCAAGCTCATGAGGGGAGTGGCCTTCCCCACTCCTAATTCAAATCTATGTTTGTTACGAACACTGTACTTAAATACCCGAGAGAAATTTTGCCTGATATCAGATCAGCCTGTTTTCACAATGAAGACAAGAATTCGATTCACTGATACGTACAAATTAGGGAAAGATGGTTTGAATTAGGTTTTAAACACAAAGAAAAACAGAAATTGCAGCATCTGTGGAGAGAAATCTGTTAACGTTTCGGGTCGAGTGACCCTTCCTTAGAACAGTTAACATTAACTCTGATTTCTCTCCACAGATGCCGCCAGACCTGCTGAGTTTTCCAGCAATTTCTGTTTTTGTTTTTGATTTAGAGCATCTGCAGTTTTTCAGTTTTTGTTTGAATTATGTTTTATCTTGTCCAACAGCGTAATTTAAAAGAAAAATAGCACAGTTCTACAAAAGGCTATTTTGTAGCTAATGGCTTACCTTGTCAATGAATATGGGGTAGTCTTTAGGGACCAACTGTTGACATTTTTCTCGATTTCCTATTGTTTTCCTAAATTCAAACAACCTAAAATTTTAAAAACACAGTTACAATATTTTTAAAACTTTCCAATTAAATATAAGTCCAATGTCAACCAGAGGTACAACTACTGGCATCCAAAGGAATACACAAAAGCTTTTTGGTGTTTATTTCCAACTGCAATTTTTGAAATTTAAATTGTTGATTGCTATCAACTACAAATAGCACCAAAATACAATGTTTGGCTTAATAATTTAAAAGTCATTAAAAGTCTAAGAATAAATCCTAAAGGAGTTTAATTATTTGACTGAGATATTTACAGCAATTTAAGCAAGCATATCAGAATATCGAACAGCCTATCATTCAAACTACATTCTACTGAACTCTTGATTTCAGTTACTTCACCATAGAGGCATTAACATGCACAATACATTTTTCATCTAAGTTTGTTTTCCATGACTGTTTCCTGTCTTCCACACACACACAGAATGAGATTCATTGCCGCACTGTATGAAACGTTCAACTTCCTCTTTCTATACAAGTCACTGTAGCAGTTTCACAGCAAGAATCCCTGGAACAGCTGCAGAATTATTCAAGATGGAAAAGACTGAAGCAAGAGAAAGCTGAGCATGCTTCATACGTATACAGAGATTGATGCTTGGAACTTAGAAAATAGTACATTCCACTCCATGCCAGATTTGAACAACTGCAGAGGATACACAACAGGAGAGAATAGCAAAGTCATGCAAGACTGACATAGGGAGAACAAACAAATGTACAACCCTTGACCTTGTAGTATCCACTCCAAAATTCCAACATCAGATAAAAATGATTTCACATATCTCATGCAGTAGAAAGAATGTAGTAGTGTATATGCTACATCCTATTGATTAATGTAATTCAATTTAGATTTTCATGAGTCATTAGGCCAGCTCATTCATCGGATAACTAATTATATTTCCTCGATTTATATGGAAACTTTTAAAGTTACAGTAAATTTTGTTTCTGTTTTTCCCCTAACACCTCTGCAGCAAATTCCATCTCTACCTCTATCATACTTTAGTCAAAACAAGCAGGCAGTCTGAGAAGAAAAGTTTATTTACAGACACCAATTAAGTCTTGCAGCAGCCGAATAATGAAGTGCTTCAACACTACTGAAAAGGATATAATCATTTTCCCAAATCACAAGAACAAACTTTGAACATGAATACATGGACTGGCTTCATTATCAGTCCCCAAAAGGACTACTGGATGACAAGAACACTTCGACAGTGCAATTCTAAAATCATGTAAAGTCAAATGTCACAGAACAGTTTCTTCATACAATACCTTCTGAGATCATCCGGCTTTCCCCATCCTTGAATGAAAAGTTTTGAAAGGAGGAATCGTCTATACAGAACGTCCAATTTACTGACACCCATTCGAAGAAGCAATTACTCTAATATTGCATCTAATTGAGAAAAATGGATGACATTCTTTTTAAATTTTATAGCCATAGGACAACATTATATAATATAGTTACATAGCAAAAATGATTTAAGAAAGATTAAATGAGAAAAATTCATTCATCAAATCTAGCTCTTCCACAGACCATGTACAGAAGTCAAGTAAATATCTCAACACTTGGTAAATTATTTGTATCTTCTAATACACCACCACAATTAATACTAGTCAAAATATTGCAAAAATACTGAACTTCCAAAGGAAATATAGAAATTCTGAGCAACTGTCATCACAATGGGCAATGAGAATCGTTCTGCCCCACAGAAAAGCTATCTCAGTCTACATTGGAACATAGGAGAATGAGGGGTGACCTTATTGTGGTGTATAAAATCATGAGGAACGTAGATAGGATGAGTGAATATAGTCATTTTCCCAGGGATGGGGATTTGATGACGAGACGGCATAGGTTTAAGGTGAGAGGAGAAAGATTGAAGAAGGACCTGACAGGCAACTTCTTCACTGAGAGAGTGGTCTGTATATGGAATGGGCTGTCAGGCAAAGTGGTTGAGGCAGGTACAATAGCAACATTTAAAAAAAAACATTTGGATTGGATGGGAAGGGTTTAGAGGGATATGGACCAAATGCGGGCAATTGGGACCAGCTGAGTGGGCACCATGGTCAGCATGGATCAGTTTGAGCCGAAGGGCCTGTTTCCATGCTGTAATACTTTGACTCTATTTAACCCTCAGCATAAAAGTAAGCTAGTTGGGCATCATGCCTATGTCAGCTTTTAAAGAAGTATCCAATTTGTCCTAGTCCCCTGCTCTTTTGCCGTAGCTCTGCATTTTGTTTCTTTTTCAAGCACATATTCAATTTCCTTTTGAAAAGTAACCATTGAATCTGCTTTCTCACCTCTACAGTCACTGCATTCCCGATTGTAATGAGCTACTTAAAATATTTCTTTCTTGCCTCTAGTTCTTGCAAATTACCTTAAATCTATGTCATCTGGCTACTTAGCTAATTGCCATTAGAAACAGTATTTTATAAATTGTGCAATTATGGGGTTTGGGTTTGCTGGCAAGGTCATCATTTATTACACACCCTAACTGTCCAAGAAAGTAGCAGACAGCCACCTTCTTAAGTACTGCAGTTTGTCTGGTGTAGATTTGCCCACAATGTTGTGCTGTAGGGAGTTCCAGCATTTTGACACTAATTTTAAGAATTTAAAAAAAGAGGAGGGAGTAGGTCATACAAGGCTTCAAGCAAACTTTCTCATTCAATACTTCTTTGCCCTAACTATGCTGTACTGAGCTCTAAGACTGAACATCTTCTGCCATCTGGAATGGAGAAAACCAGAGACTTACAAGCCTCTGAAGAAATTTCCCATCTCAGACTTAATGGTCAACTCTTTATCCTGAGGCTATCAACCCTAGCTTTAGATGACTGCCTCTCAGCATATATCAGGTCAAGCCCTCAGAATATTATATGTTTCAATAACATGATTTCATATTCTTCTAAAATCCAAAGAATAAAGGCCAATTTTACTCCATCTCCCCTTGCAGGTCAACTCCGATTGCTGAGAGTGACAATCAAATGAACCTTTTCTGTATCTCCCCATGGCATGTGGCTTCATTAAAGCCCTATATAACTGCAGCAAGATTTCTTTACTTGTATACTCCAACCACCTTGCTATAAAAGGTTAACATACCATTTGCTTTCCCAATTGTTTGCTGTGCCTGCAGGTCGTTTCCTATCAAAGCCTTTCACAATTCTGAACATCTCTACTCAATCGCCGGTTAACTTTTTCTGCCCCAAGGAGAATAATTTTGGCTTCCCCAGGCTCTCAAAATATACCCTCACCAGTGAATTACCTACAAAGTTTTAATTTATTCTCACATTCAGTTAAAATTACCAGGCATGTTAGCCATGCAGTACTACCATAATTTTGTGACAAAACAATCACAATTCATAGCATCACGTCACATGAAATTGCTATACATTGCTAATCGTCAAAACAGTTGTGATACAGTGAACTTGCTGTAGTCACTTTAAATGTACAACTTGCAATACATAACAATTACAAGAAAGTTTTGGGATATACAGGAATGCCAATATACTTTTAAATAAGCACTCAAATATTAACTAAAGGAGAAGACATATTCTAGAAATTTCTGGAAAACTATGCAAATAAATAGGATCAGAAATATATTGTCTACAAATCTTAAACATGTTATTTTTAAACTCAACCTGTGAAAGATTAGTCACTTGAATCTTTTTCTTCTAAGATGAATATTTAGTCTCACTGTTAAATTGAAATTGTTGTGTGAAGTACCACGTACATTCAATAAAGAAATTAATTTTATTTTCAGATTTTTTTATTCACTTGTGGGATTTGTAGATCGCTGGCTGGGCCAGCATTTGTTGCCCATCCCAAGATGCCCTTCTAAAGGTGGTGGTGAGCTGCTTTCTTGAAACACTGAAGTTCAAATGCTGTAGGTAGACCCACAATTCAGTGAGGGAGGGAATTTCAGGATTTGACCCAACAACACTAAAGGAACAGCAACACAGTTCTAAATCAGAAAGATGGGTGTCCTGGCGTGGAACTGGCAGGTGGTGGCGTTTCCATGTATCTGCTGCCCTTGTCCTTCTGGATGGAAGTGGTCATGGGTTTGGAAGGTACTGTCTAAAGCTCTTCGGAGAATTTCTGCAGTGCATCTTGCAGATGGAACACACTGCTGCCAATGAGCATTGGTGGTTCAGAAAGTGAATGTTTACGGATGTGGTATCAATCAAGTGGGCTGATTTGTTCTGGATGGTATCAAGCTTCTTGCTTTGATGGAGCTGCACTCATCCAGGCAAGCGTGCAGTATTTCATCACACTTATGACTTGTGCCTTATGGATGGTGGACAGGCTTTGTCAGTAGCAGTATATGATACTCACATAAAAGAAATAAATAAAGCATCACATACTTAAATTCATAAAGGAAATCAATAAAATCATAGTATAACAAAATGGGGATGTGAAAAATCCGAAACAAAACCAGAAATTGCTGGAGAAACTCAGCAGGTCTGGCAGCATTTGAGGATAAAAGCAGACTAAACCCAGAACTGAGGAAGGGTCACTGTATTTGAAATGTTAACACTGCTTTCTCTCCATAGATGCTGCCAGACGTGGTGAGTTTCTCCAGCAATTTCTGTTTCATTTCAATAAAGCAACACACACTTAAGCTATAAAATCATATCCAATGATAACAATATTTGAAACAAATTGTCAGGCACAGATATGATCAACAGCAAGGGCTATGTTCTATACCTGGCTAATGATGGCTGACTTTCTTACGACAGCAAGCTGACTACCAACATCAACACACTACACATCCCAGCCAACATTAGACCATAAGACATAGGTGCAGAAAATGACCATTTGACCCATCAAATCTGCTTTTATTCAATGAGATCATGGCTGATCCGACAATCCTCAACTCCACTTTCCTGCCTTTTACCATAATCCTTGATTCCCTTACTGATTAAAAATCTGTCTATTCCCATCCTTGAATATTTTTAACAAAACAGACTCGACAGCCTCCTGAAGTAAAGAATTCCACAAATTCATTACCCTCAGAAAAATTTCTCCTCGCCATGGTCTAAAATGGGTAACGCCTTACTCTGAGATTATGACCTCTAGTATTAGACTCCTCAGAAGGAGGAATAACCTCTCAGCATCTAACCTGGCAAACCTCCTAAAGATCTGACATGATTCAATAAGGTCACCTCTCATTCCTCTGAACTCCAGTGAGTACAGGCCCAATCTATTCAACCTCTCCTCATAAGACTGGGATCAATCAAGTGAATCTTAATGGACTATCTTCAATGCCAGTATATATTTATTTAGGTAAGGGGGCCAAAACTGTTCAGTATTCCAGGTGTGGTCTAACCAATGCCTTATCTAGTTTTAGCAAGACTTCCCTCTGTTTATACTCCATTCCCCTTGAAATAAAGCTTAATATTCCATTTGCCTTCCCATTACCCACAGAACTTATATACTTTACTTTATGATTCATGCACAAGGACTTTCAAATCCCTCTATCCTGTAGTTTTTTGCAGTCATTCTCAATTTAAATAATATTCAAGTCCATTATTCTTCCTGCCAAAGTCCATTATCTCACATTTTCCCACACCATATTCTATCTGACGAGAATATCTTCTCATTCACTTAACCTGTCTATATCCCTCTGAAGATTTTGTGTTCACCCTCACAACTTGTTTTCCCATCTATTTTTATCCCACCCACAAACCTGGTGATTGCACATTCACTTCCATCATCAAAGTCACTAATATATATTCTAAATAACTGTGGCCCCAGCACTGATCCCCGAGACACTCCACTAGATACAGGTTGGCATCCAGAAAATGCATCCCCCAACCCTGCTGTTCCCAGCTCTCTATGGGCTTCCTAACAGGCCGTGTATGTAGTACCTTACTGAGAGCCATCTAGAAATCCAAATACATTACATTTACTGGTTTCCCCATATCCATTCTGCCTGCAATCTCCTCAAAAGAATTCTAATAAATTTGTCAGGCATAATTTTTGCTTCATGAAGCAAGGCTGAGTTTCCATGATTGTATATACTCTGCTTTTACATCCTCTATAACATACTAGCATTTTCCCAATGATAAGCTAACCTTTGCTTTCAGAAGAATCTCCCTGTTCTTAAACTTTATGCCTCAGCTAATAAAGGGAAGGGTACTAGTTTTGAAAAATCCTTAGATTTGGGAAATTTGGGATTGGAAAATTGCTGATGTGACAATCTTGCTCAAGAAAGGAGGTTTGGGAGTGGTAAACATGAAACTGATAAAACTGTATAAATTGTTGGTTACATTTTGTTGTTATCAATAAATTAATTATCCAATCATGGTCAAAATACAGTTGTATGGAAAAGTACTATGACAAGGACTTAGGGCAAGCATAAATCACAGTACGATTTAAATGAGCTTAATTACACTTCAAAAGTTCTCCATTCCATTTGAGTGCTTCTCCAGCTACCTACAAAATGTGTCTACCCCTGGAGGCTTTCCAACCAGCTCAAATGATCACTCACCTTAGATCAAGCATCTATAACACAACACCACTGACTATCCTCAGACACCAATGTAACTCAACATCAGAGGTCCATGTCAGAGGTCCAGTCTACAATCCTATCTGGAATCCTCCTCAGACATGCCCACCATCACAAGTTCCCTACCAAATTCTAATCCCAATCTCTTTGTTTACTCATTTTCTCCTACCAGCCTACAGCCGTGTCTCCAGCATTATTTCCTCTTTCAACCAGCTATGTTGTAGCATATCTTTGGCAGCTGTTCAACGAATGCAGGGTTGCATCCCATCTTCCTGTGTGGAAGAAGAGTCAAATATTAAATACATAATCAATAAAACACAGATGAAAGGCAGGAGACAGAGAATCAGATAACTGCAACATGTCAAATACATATTTTATTCTTCTATCACAGATTTCGTATTCAGATCTCTCAAATTGATCCCAAAACTGTGAAGTATAAATTGAAGCGTACTAAGTGTTGTGCTCCATTCACAGGGTTTGAAAACAGACTTGTGAGAGAAAATATTTAACTTTTCTTTATGGTACCTCATATGAAAACATTTTAAATAATGTGGCTTTTTAGAAGTTTCAGACCACTGTCAATCTCTCATAGAAAGTATGCTACAGGCAGAGCTAAATGATCTCACAATTAATGCATTTGATTTAAGTTCCACAGTTATGCCATATCCACTTGTGAATGGTGGAGGATGACTAAACAAGCAGAAAGAGACTGCTGCTTCAGGAACGACCCCGTTCTCAAATTTTTTTTTTTTTTTTGTGGTGGGGGGGCGGGGGGGGGGGGCGGAGGTGTCCAGCTCTTGGGTAAAAAATGAAAAGCCTTAAGCATTTTCTTCTATCTTTAGCCAACATGGATGATTTATCTGGCAATCTCCACTGCCTCTCGAGGTCCACATCACAGAAGGTAGTCTTCAGCTAATTTGATCCACTTTGTGATATCAAGAATAGCAGATGAATCGGAAAATGCTTAGGACCGTCTGTCCATTGAAGCAGAACAAGTCCAATCCAGCCAAACACCACACTGTCAACCTATTCTGAATCAAAGTGAATGAAGAGGTTGCTGACAGTGCTAAGAAGCAATACCTCCTTACTGATGTTGCTTGGCTTTGTCACAATCATTTAGCTCTGGACCTCACGTCAACTTTGGCGCAAACATGGACAAAAATAGCTGAATTCCAGAGATGAGGTGAGAATGACTCCATTTGATTTCAAGGCAGCATTTGTTGCCTGGGATGAATTCCCCATTATAAATACCCTGCAAAGGTAATCACTACAAAAATCTGAACACAAACAGATACTTCAATACTGTGGCTACGACTGCAGATAAGTAGTGGGAAGTTTAATTACTGACTCCTCAAAACCCGCCCACCATCCACAAGGTAGATCTTAGGGTGCAATGGAAGTCTTCAGTCACTTGGATCAGCATAGCTCCAACAAGAAGCGTAAAAACAATCAGCTTAGAGCAGCCCACATTTTGGCACCAAATCCATCACCTACAATGCACACTCCCTTCACCAGCAGTCCATCATGTCTGCTATGTGTATCATTTGCAAGAGTCATGTAGTAACTCCAAATCTGCAGCCTCTACCACCAAGGACAGCAAATGTGTCGAAGCATAATCACCTGCATATTTTCTATAAAAATAAAATTCTATCCTTACATGGAAATGATTCACCATTCCTTCATTGCTGCTGGGTCAAAATTCTGGAACTCTCTACATAACAGCATTATGACAGTACCTATACAACAGATGGTAGCAGTTCAGAGAATAGCTTACCAGCGTATTTGTGAGGACAATCAAGGAAAGGCAATAAATTCTGGCCTTGTCAGCAACATCGTATGTCACAAACAAACTAAAAGAGACAATGTAGCCTTTCTTTAGTTGTATCAAGACTAGATTACATGTTCCAGTACTGACAGTAGTGTGGTTTGAATCGAAGAAAATTGTCAGTTGAGTACTGGTGGCACCAAAATATAATAAGAATCTATATATTATGTAAGAAGTACCAAATAAATATTAATTCACTTTGCCATCTGAATTTAAGTGGTTTTCTCTACAATCCTCCACATGTTGTATCTCTGCTGTTGACACCTCATTCAAAATGACCCAATTCAACTCAAATAATTTGCAAACATACTACTACAAACCAGTTTTAAGGAAGGCTTTGGACAATAAGTTTGGGATCCAAAGTCTCAAATTCTTACCACCATCTGAATATGCCTGGGGGTTTTCTCCTTTGTTCATTCCACTTACGTAAATGCTATCCTTTGATGATACATCTTAGAAAAGCAAATTCAGGAATGCATAATGATACCCATTCCTTCTCAACACTTTTCCAGCATTATCAACACTCTGAGCTTTTGAATCTTTACCTCGAGATACTTTCCTTATGGAAGGCAGAATTAGATAGATTCTTATTAGACAAGGTAATCAAAGGCGATCAGGAAACATGAAATTTGAAGCAAACATATCAGCCATGATCGTACTGAGGGTGGAGCCAGCTCGGGGGGCGTCGAATGAGTCACCTCTACTCCTAATTTGTATGTTCAGCACAAAGACCATGTTTAAGAAAGCACTTGCTCCTCAAACTGAAGTGGATTTTTCAATGCTCAGTATCTAGATAGTTGTAACAATTCAAGAGTTAAAAGGAATCCTTGTAACTATATTTGGTGTACTGGGTATATCACAGGCCTATACATGAATCTTGGATCTCAAAAAGTAATTCAATAAGCGATATTTGGTTCACAGTATAAATCACAAGGAAATTTGTTAGTGATTGTAAAAACTATGTGAAACAAATTGAAGATTTACATGTATTGACACAACCCAACTTTCCTACTTGGAATTTAAAATATACAAACAAAGTTCTGTCCTTAGCATTAAAGCTGTTAGCAAAATTAGGCTGGAAGACTACTAAGCTCTCTCAATGTCTACTCGGTCAATTGAAGCAATATGCAATATTTTTGCTCCCATATTTGGCTCACTAGATACATCAAGAGAAAATTGAAGTAGCAATAGGGCCATTAAGAGATTACAAAATCAGAGACAACAAGATTGAGAAAATATTAAATCATGTCTTTACTACAGTAATTACCCAGGAGGCAGATCAGGTGGAGGTGACGTTGGAAGATGAGTTTAGAAATGATATAAGCATACGTACAACAGAAAAGTATCAATATAAAATAAACAAATCAAATTCAAGTGAATAACAATCCTGATCTGATCAGATTGTATCGGTGCGTTTTAAAATAATCTGCAGGAGATAGTGAAAGTACTGTTTATGTACTTTTAATAATTCATTAGAAAAAGGTGTAACGCTAGAGGACAGGTAGATAGCTAAGTTTATATCTATCTGCCTTAAATATAGATAATGTCCTGAACTACAGACCAGTCAGCTTGACAATCTTGGTGGAAACTACATGGGAATTCCTATTAAAGAAGCAAAAAAAAGAAAAATGTCCTATTTGTCAAACACACTGAATGCTTTAAATAGTTAACAGTGAGAAAAATAGGGCAAATACAATTGATGTAACTTATCTAGATTTCAATAACACATTCAGTAAGGTGCCACACAATAGGAAGCAAGACTAGAGCTTGCAGAACCACAATAAAAGGTAGAAGAATAGTTAGATATAGACCAGAGGTGGGGGTAAAGGGTAATTACTTACAGTGACAGAAGATTAAAGCTACAAGGTACATTAAATGCTTGCAAGGATCAGTATTGGCACCACTGCTGTTCACGATTTTTATAACAAGATCAAACTTTTAATGAAAAACGAGTTTTAAATTTGTGGATGGCATCAAATTGGGGGAGAATAGTCAACACCAAGGTCAACTTCAATATATGACAAAATTATGTTGATACACTTGTAGATTAGGCAAATAATTGTCAAATTAATTTCAAAACAGGCAACTATGAAGTATCACACACTTAAAAAGAACAGCACCTCTTAGATTACTGTTTTTTTCCAAACCAGGAGCAAATGGATCTGGGAGTATGAACACACAATTACAAAGTAGCAAGTCAACTTAATAAGGTTGTGAAAGAGCAAACAAAGCAAAAACAGCAATAAAGTTTACTTAGTGGGATAGAACTCTAAAGTAGAGAAGTTATCCTAAATGCATGTTTTAAACATTCACTCTCTGGCATCATTGCACGATGGCAGAGTGTGTTCAATCTGCGAGATGCACAGCACCAACTCACCAAGGCTCCTTTCACAGCACTTTCCAAAACTGTGACCTCTACCATCTAAAGGGAAAGGGCAGGAGGTGAATAGGAGAACAATCACCTGCAAGTTCCACTTCACCATCCTGACTTGGCACTATAATCACAATTTCTTCACTGTTGCTGAATCAAAATCCTGAAACTCTGTTCCCAACTACACTGTGGACTACCCCCTGCCCCAACTGCAATTTGTGAAGACAGCTTTTGATGTTCTCAAGGGCAATTTGGGATGGGGTATAAATGCTGGCCTAGCCAGTGACACCTACATCCTATTATTAAATGCAAATGAAATCTATTCTTCAGTAAACTATTCTGACTGAAATATTACAAAGATACTGGAGAGAAGTAGAAATGCAAGTTTATACCTAAAGGAGAAAATGAACAGCCATAATTCATGCCAGCAGGAAAACAACTCACCAGATCTTTTCATTTACTAATACACGCAATCAAAAAGCTACAATGGCTATGAATTTAATAACAGCTAAAACAATCCAATGTTGCAACAGTCCTTTGAAATAAAATAAGATACAGCGATAAAGAATAATGTAATTCAAGCAATTTACTTATTTATACTTGCAAACGTAATACCATCTGTTTCTTGAGTACTGCAGATCTGTTATTTTCTTTGAATTAATTTGGTTTCAATCAGAAAGACCCAAAAATAACCATGATCAAACACACCACTTCCTGATGCAACGAGTGAAATTTCTAAAGATGCTAAATTTTATGAGCTAAAACTCAATCTCAGTAATATCAAAGCTACCATTTCAGTTCTCAGTTGCCTCTCTGCACCTCTAGCAAAACACTCCAGATGAAGTTTCAAGATACACAAATTATCACACCATTCAACAACTCAATCACCTCCGGCACATTTAAGACACATCTAGTCACAAAAACCATCAGTCTCCAACTATATCATTCTTACACCTGCCGAAACTTCAGTTCTGTATTTCAGACTGAAGTTTAATTTCTCCCACATTCTCATCATCATCTCATCTCCAGCAGCCAAAGTAATCCAATTCAGAACTTATATCCTCAGCCATATCAAT